AAAACATTTCTTTCTTTTTCAAATGTACTCGATGCTCTAGTTGGATTAAAAGCTTTGTGGGACATTTTAGCAGATATTCACATTAATATTATACAGGGCTTTCCAAAAAACGTGATATGATTTCAATTTCCCATTGTTAAGGAAATTCACATGTTTTCTTATTTGGTGTGAAGTGCAATTGATACAATTAAGTTCTAAATAAAAAATCATTCAAATGGCCTCCTCGACCATTTTTTCAGGAACCAATTAGACAAAACAAATTTTCGTACTATATGTCGTGAATGGCACGTTCAATATTGACCTCTAAAGCTTGAAGTGAGTCTGTTTTATTGCTAAAGATCAATGACCTCTCTATAACCTCACAGAAGTAGTCAACAGTGTTATACCATAACATCTTGGAGCCCATTCAATGTCAGAATTTCTTGAAATAGTCGAATCTACACACTTTTCTCGCAATCCCCGTCTTGTTATTTCATATGTTGTCAGAATCAACTTCTTTCAATTATGGCCATAAAAAGTTGGTTATCATGGAACTATGGCGCTCACCATTGACAGTAACGGTGTCACCTACTTCATTTCGAAAGAACTACATTCCGATGATTCCATCAGAACAAATACTAACCAAACTGTCAATTTAGGTGAATGTAATGTAATTGTTCAGTATAAATAATTTGTGGATTTTCTTCGCACCAAAACCGACAGTTTCTCAGATGAAAATTAGCCTCATCAGAAAATATGATATTCTTAAAACAATCGTTATAGTTTTCAAGTTGTTCCAATGCAAAATCAGCAAATTCACAAAGTATACGGTGATCCAATAACTTCAAATCTTGAGTAAGAATAATTTTATATGGATGCAACCCCAAATTTCTCAAAAGCCTCCAGGTTGTGGTTTTGAGACGGTTCTTGAGAACGTCTTGGAATCGACAAATTGCGGTCTTCTGAAAATTATTGTGCATCTTTGGTGACCTGATTATCTCTAGATTGCCCTAAGAAAAAGAAAAACTTCTACTCAAATACCTCATTTGTTATACCATGAAGATGTGGACGAGGAAGGCCATAAGATGCAATTGGTGAGATGAGCGATCGCTCTGAAGATATATTGTTAATAAATATTCGGACTCTACGCAAAGTGCGTCGTAGAAACCGTATGTCAGAATTCAACGAAAATGATGCAAAATTGTTTCGAACTGCCACGACATTCACAATTTTTCCCGAATCTGGTATTCAGTGCCTGTTTTACGGATTTAAGAAAACTGAAACGTAAATAAATGTTTCGACCATGAAAATGCGCTTGCAGATACTTGATGAGAGATGAGACTTATTTTGCAGTTTTGCTTCACCAAACTAATCATGCTAAAAAGGAATCCAAAAGTTAGAAGCTCACTTTAATCGATTTCAGCTATTTTCACTCTATTCTTGGGAGTTTTTACGATATTTGCGCTAAGCGAATGTATTGTCGTCAATTTAGAAGATACGTTCATTATCTTATTACAGCCACGCCCACATTTTGAAACTTTTTACCCACATATGAATTTCGCTACTGCGATCGCCTGTGCCGAATTAGAATTTTTAATTTAGTGCTTAAATTACATACAAAAAAAAATACAATTTTTTATAATTTAATGTTCCGGAGCGCCCGAGAACCAGTTGCTTATTATCGAATTCCTCCAAAAGTCTTTATCAGATTTACTTCAAAATTTCAGTGAATATTTCTAAAGTATTACTTTATACTTGTACCTTAAGATCACCCCTACTGACTGTTAATTACTGAATAAACTTTTTTTTGCTGCTTTCATATGAAAATTTCTTGACTAGAAAGCAGAGCTCAAATTTAGCGAAGGGAGTTAAATTTAGTGGTGTATGGAAGATGATATTAATTTCAAATGAGAAACTAACAGAAATATTAAATACAATTTTATGAAATTGATGAGAGCATATTTATATACATATGTATATGTATACACAAGTACCTAGCCAATGACGATTCTTTTAATATTTATATTTTTTTAATGATTTGATTATCAATACTTTAAATTTATTGAACCAATTGTTATAATTGTTTGAAAAATTTCAAAATAGACCCTTCTGTGTCGATGCGTCACCGATGGCTCTGTCGTCTCAAAATGCTTGATTGTAATTACGTATTGTTGAAGTTGATAACATAAGGAAGGGTAAAGTTTAATTTAAGCTAAATTTTCAAATATTATATTGTATTTAGGCAATTTTAGGTTATAAGCTCATTTCTAGCAGGGTTCTCACTTGGACAGCTTAAAACGTCGATCCGTTGTGGCACCTTGAACTCATATAAAATTGTTCATAAGGACTCTCATAAATCAACAAAGCGCTTGATTATTTCACAAATGCTTGCTTGTGACGACTAATATCAGTTTCGGCTATGTCTCCCGATTCGCCAAACGTAAGGCTGACGTGATGTTTCAACCTCAGTCTAGCAAAAGCTGGATAATGGAGGAGAAAATACCTGAATGTTTCCACCTCACTCTCTATCAAACAACTTTGATAACTTGCGTCAGTGAAGATTTTTAGGCTGACTGGATCTGTGCTCATTGGACAGTGTCCAGTAAGAACCCGTACGATTGCGACAAGATTAACTTCGCTACGAGGAAGTAGTTCAGTAGATCTACCGTGTTCTATTCTAGGAGAAAAGGAGTTTGCAGTCGCACCTGTTAAACACATGCGAGATCTATTGTTCTAAAGCTAGAAAGTAAGATGCCAATGGGTATCCAACTCGGCAATTCTGCTATGACCAGGCACTCAAACGAGTCTGATGATGGAAAGGAAATTGATGCTATTTCTAATAAGGACATCTGACATCTGACTAACTTTGAGCACACAATTGTGAGTCACTCTGCTGCCGAAGTTAATACTCACCTTCTTGCAACAGGCTGTAGTTTCTTAACGGTATGTTCACCGTCTCCTAATCTAATCTAATCTAATCAGACAGCTGACATCTGATAGCAGCCACTTCTGCAGCCTGAAAAACACTACAGTGGTCCGGTAGCTTAAAGCTATGATTGATTGAGAGCTCCTTACAGAAAACTCCCCCTCGAACATTATCTTCTAGTCTCGACCCAACCGTGAAAAAGCCCACAGCGCCTCTTCTCTATCAACTCTTCCCCATCCAACATTGTATTCCTCGTCGGCATGTGATCATAGAAAAAGCGGACCTGAGTAGCTTCCGTGACACAGTGATCCAAGTTTTCAAGAATATGTAATTTAATTATTTTTTTTTTCCGGCTCAATGGGTATGTAATAAAGCAAGCATTTGGAACAAAGAGCAACATGAAGAGATTCACGTGCTGCCATTTCGTTCAGACAAAATAAAGATTTGGTGTGGTTTTTGGGCCGGTTGAACCATCTGTCCATTTTTCTTCATACTGATGCCGGTGAGAACGTAACCGTCAATGGCAAAAATTATCGCGCCATGATAGCCGATTATTTGATGCCTGAATTTGAAATATATGGTTTCAACTGGACGGCGTCATTTCTCACACATCGCATCAATCAATGAATTTATTGAAAGGACACTTCACATTTTGGGCCGGTCGGTGGCCACCAAAATCGTGTGATATCACACCATTAGACTTCTTCCTGTGGAGATATGAATGTAAAAACTAAAGTCTCTGCGGAAAATCTCGCTTCGATTCAGGACTTGTATGAACAAGTCATCGAAAATTGGACTCAACGTATGGGCCAGAGAAAAAGAGATGTTTAACTCCTCTCTCACTGGAAGTTAGAGAGCAATCGCTTAACGTCAAAACCTACTGAACTTTGACAGCTAAGAGAGTTCAGTAGGTTTTGACGTTTATCAATTTCAAACGAGCGATGGCCAGATTGAAATCTTACCAAAAAAATATACAAACGGAGGAATTTGTTGCATCGTTCAAGACCACTTATAAAAAATGTAAAACAATGAAAATTAAAGAAATTTTTGAAATTTAAAGGTATTTGTTAAAACGTGTTGTAATTTGAAGCATCATAGTATTTTTTTCAATGGAAAATGATTAAAAACATATAATGATTGAGAGCTAACAAGCTTAAATCCTTTTATTGGATATTCAAAGGTCGAAAGTCAGTTGTTCTAATAAACTTTAAAAAGATTTAAACAGTTTCTCCATTTAATAAATAACCAGTTATATAGTAATTTTTATTAGTACTAAATGTTGGTTGTTCTAATTTAAATGCCCAAAAATTATTATTTTGTCCAATCTGGCCATAATGGATAATGTTTAAAAAACGCTAACTTTGAGGTGCTCTCACACTGGAATAAGTTTAAAATCCCTTTATTCCTGTATGGGCCACCTGAGGCGTAGCCGTGGCCAACATCTGAAAGAAGTAATCTTCAAAGAACAAATGCCAAAGAATGTTTTTTTCGAATAATAATAGACATTCCCCATTAAATTTGAAGTTTCTGTGTTTTTTCTTAAAAAAAAAAGTAGAGAACCCTTTATGCGTAAAAAATTGATTCCAAAAATGTGTTAAATTCGTTACATATTTTAAATATTTCTTCCTCAAAACTTCGGAACTTTAAAAAAAAAAAAATCTTTTCTATAGTGCTACCAACTTTTGAAAATGAAACGGATGTTAAACTTTTTTACTTGCTTAAAATTTTTTTTGGAATATTTTAATAATTAAAAATTTTGGAATTACGATTAATCTATTTGCAATTACATTACATTCATGCAGAATAATTTGTTCGAAAACGAAAAATTTTGTTTTAATTTTAACATTTTCCTCGAAAAAATGTAAAGTTTGAAAATTTGGTAATAAAATTTACACCAATAAAGCAAACATTTGTTTTATAGTGTAATTTACAGTGACAGCGTAAATGTTCAATATGTAATGTAGAATGTAGTTTCAACACAAGCTGGCTCTAGACTAGTATTTCAAGCTGCATATTTCAGAATGCTCTGAGATGCCATTGCATAGTAGATATTGAAACATCGCTATTGATAAGCATATAAACGCGGTAATCTGACATTGCTCAGCCAGTGTAACTTCTTTTAAATAGTCGCGAGGTTCTCAGCCTTCATTATAAACGCCGGTGATATGTACATTCTTAAGTGAGTTGAATTGATTTGCAATAAAATGTCTGCGTAATTATCGATTGTATATAATTTATCGCGTCTAAAAGTGCAGAAAAGTCAAATTAAATTATTGAAAACAAAAATTGAAGATACTGAATCTGTTTAAATTGGAATTTTTTCTACTTTTGCAGCACCTTGAAAAGAGCATAATTGTTTTGTGTTCCTAGAAATTTATTATGACACCATGTGCGTAGGTTGTATATTATATTTCGAGATTTGAAAAGAAAAACAAATATGAATCATTGAAAATGTCATTGGCAATGAAAGCAGTTGTTGCAGTCGCTGTGTGAGAGCTCGCATTGTCGTGGTGATGAGTGATCCATCTGCGGTGGTTATTTTTCCCGAAATCTTGAAAGACAACTGGCTGTTTGCCAATGGTTGTCTACCGCTCAGAATGTGCTGTTCTGAGCTGTTCTAATAGTATAGTTGCGCGATATCCAGTTTTCCCAAAAAAAATAAAAACAGTTTTGTTGGATTCGGCTCATTAAAACCGCATATACAATCGACTGCAGTTTACTTTCAAGCTCATACGTATAAATACACGAATCATACACTGTCACGTTTTCATAGACGTGCTTCGAAGCACCGTTATCATATTTTTTAACATTTCTATCGACCCATAGACAAGAGCCGTTTTTGAGCGATCGACAAATTCCACGGAATTCAACGTGAAATAAATGTTTTTACGATCATCAGGAATTCGCTTTATCTGCTAGCGTAAACCTGGTGCGCAACCAATTCTTGGTTATTTGAACAACTATATCTGAGACAATTACGGAGCCATCTTATTTATTACATAAATATTTCCCTTGACTCGCAAATATCTCCCTTCCGCTTTTTTGCTCTTTATTCAATGCTTTATAAAAAGTGTTAAAGTGATCGGATTCTGTTCAAAAATTCGATAATCTGTCTACATTTAGATGACAACTTCATAATGCTCCCCTCGTAGAAGCCCCTCCTTATTTGCGAAGAACTCGGACAACCACTTTTCGCAAGCCCCTTTGAGTTCAACTTTACGCCAACAAGGGCGTCCGCCATGTACAGGAATAGGTCGTAACCACTTGGCGTTATGTACGGGCTATATGGTGAACACGATAAGTGTTCCCGTAGCTTCAACGAAGTGTGTGGTCTGGTGTTGTCCTGGTGGAGCACTACACCCTATCTGTTAGCCATTTCTGGGCAGTATATGGTAGAATTAAACGTCTGGCTATATGGGAGCAGCTCATAGTGGATGATTCTCTTCCAATCCCACCAAACACACACCAAAACCTTCCTGGCCATTAATTTCGGCTTGGCCACTGTTTGGGATGATTCACCGGCCTTCGACCACGACCGTTTTCGCTTGGTATTGTCGTATGTGATCCATTTTTCGTCGCTAGTCACCACTCGCTTCAAAAATGGGTCGAGTTCGTTCCGTTTCAGCAGCTTATCGCAGGCGTTGAATCGGTCCAGAAGGTTTTTTTGCGTCAAATCATGCGATATCCATACGTCAAGCTTTTTTGTGTATCCAGCCTACTGCAGATATTTTAAAATAGTTTGGTGACTAACTCCGATCTTCTGAGCGATGTCACGAGATGTCACATGCCGGTCTAACTCGATGTTTTCCATGATTTAATCGGTATTCGTCATCACAGGTTGGTTTATCCATGGTGTCATTTCTCTGAATCGTCGAAAACATTCCTCCGCAGTGTGAAGAGATAGAGTACCATCCCTCAAAATACCATTCATCTCACAGAACGTTTCTCTAGCTGATTTGCCTTTAACGAAGGAAAAATTTAAAATAGCGCGAATTTCGACGTTAGTGAACTCCATGTTTACACGTCTATAACGCAATATCCAACGTAATCATGCATAGCCTCGTTTTGTAGGTTATGTCAAGACCTTTCAAAGATGTATAAGTATAGTATTTTCAGATATGAGCTCTGTAGCGCTTTATACATAACCGCTAAATTTAATAAGACAAAAAGGCGGAAGGTAGATATTTGGCTCTTCCTTATTTCTCTTAATATCACACACATACATATATCAGTGGGGGAATGAGCACATGTTATTGGGAGAGTGCGATTGCACTTTTCCTATATATTTGAATTTCCTATATACTATAAATACCATACATACATATATATGACTCTTATCACTATCACTTAAGCGTAGAATTCTTAGCAGAGGAGCGGACTACCTCGCCTACAAAAATTCATAATGTCGAGGGAAGAAACGAGAGGCAGAAAGATGTAGCGTGCACATTGAACATAAGTGTACTTAAGTTCACTGGAATCGGAAGTTTTAAGTGTAAAAATATATTTCTTTAATAATATAATCCTATAACTAAAATGAATAATGTTTCATTATTTTCAAAAATCAAAATTGTGGCATGGCGTAATGCCTTAGGCCAGGTTAAGTGGTAGATCCTAATAAGAAACTCAATTGAACTACTTTGAATGCTTAGAACTGCTATAAAGTACAACGTAAAGTCCCTCATATATCGTCAAAGGCGATCACAAAATTGTTAAGGAGGCCAATATCAGTTTCGACTATGTATATTGGTTCACCGAAGGTATGACTGCAAAGATGTTTAAGCCTCAGTCTTTCAAAGTTTGCACAAAGGCGGGGAAAGTGACTGGATATTTCAACTTCACCTTCCTCCATACAACTTTGGCGATTTGGGCACGGTTTTTATATTGTAAAGTGAAAGAATATAAAAAAAATCAAAAAGTTCCTGAGACACAGGATTTTAACATAGGCTCCTATAGAGCCCACCTACCTCCTACCTACTGCAATTCCCTTCACCAAATTACTGCCTTCTTTCTTAACTTATGACGTAGTTATAGCATGTTATAGGTTTTTAAATAAAGAAAAAGGATCCGATTCCGCTCACCCACAATAACAGCCTTCTTATAGTACCAGGAACCACAAATCTGAAGTTTCTTGGGACGTTTCATCAACATATTCCAATAGGGCTCAAGTTATCGCAAGGACAAATAAATGTAGGGACTCACTCCCCTTGCGAGATTAATTTTTATTGATAGTGCAAATAATAAATAAACAATATTTTCTTTTTTTACATTTCAGCTTACCAAAAATCATGTCTGCACAGCTGATGATTACTGTAGTATGCCTGCTAGGCATTTTTTTTAATCCGGTACGAACTCAATCAATACCAAACATTGATGTATTATTAGGACGCATATTTGACGACAATTCGACAGAACTTATACCAGAACCAAGAGTGGATACCCCAGCTAAGATTTGTGGCTTCGGCAAGGAATGTGTAGCACGCAGTCTCTGCAATGAAAATGGAACGGTCAATATTTATGGAATAGATATGCTCAATCTTCGTATAGACGGATCTAGTCCATGCAATTATTTGGAAAGCTGCTGTGATGTCAGCAATAAGGTAAGTACCTCTTTCATAGTAATATACATAGCATAGACACGTCTGCAGAGTCATCAAAATTTGAAAACGTCTGTTCTTTTTCAGTTACAGGAGTCCAAACCACTGGATGTGCCTCTAAGAAATACTTGCGGTTATCGCAATTTTAATGGCGTATCTTTCAAAATTGCCGGTGCTAAAAATAATGAGGCAGAATTCGCAGAATTTCCCTGGATGGTGGCGATTTATGCAAATGTTGGAAATCAGAAGGTTTTCAAGTGTGGCGGTTCGATTATCGCACCAAACGTTGTTCTAACAGCGGCACATTGTCTATCGGACAAACAGACCGAACCATTGATGGTCCGTGCAGGCGAATGGGATTTAGAGACGACACTAGAACCGCTTATACATCAAGATGCACGAGTTTCAGAAATCATAGCTCATGAGTCCTTTAGTCGCAGTACCATATTTAACGATATCGCGTTGTTAATTTTGGAAAAACCATTTAATTTGGCACCGAATGTGCAACCTATTTGTTTGCCCGAAGCGGGCACAACATTCGATAAAAAGCGTTGCTTTGCCACGGGTTGGGGTCAGGACAAGTTTGGTAAAAAGGGTGCATACCAGCATATTTTGAAGAAGATTGAGTTGCCTGTTGTACCGCACGCTAAATGTCAAACGCAATTGCGTGCAACGCGACTCAGTCGATATTTTCAGCTGGACAATAGTTTCATGTGCGCTGGCGGTGAACTGGGTAAAGACACGTGTACAGGTGATGGCGGTTCGCCATTATCATGCCCCGATCCGAATAATCCGGAACGTTACCTTCTAGCTGGTGTTGTTTCCTGGGGTATCGAATGCGGAGTGGAAAATATTCCCGGCGTCTACGCGAATGTGGCGCATTTACGCGAGTGGATCATCGAAAAGCTGGTGGCAAAGGGAATTGACACCAAGTTTTTTACGCCATAATACGTATATTTAGGAATTATACGTTAAGCCCTACATATACACCAGAGGTCAGTGCTAAGCTGTTATTCGACTTAAACAAACTCTTAATACTATTAAAACGAAACCGACTCTTTAGAGATCCCTTGTTTTATTAAAGTATATAAACGGTACTATTTGTAAATAAAAAATCGTAGTACTGTATGTAATATACAGTAGTAAAGTACTACAATTAACCAGCTTTACTATTATGTTATGTAAAATAAATGTACTTTTTCTATTTGGAATCTATACCAACAATGAGACTTGTGATTTAGCTAAGGGTGGAGCTCGCTCAACCACTAAAAAGCTTTTGCAATCCTAGAAGATCTTGCCTTACGAGTGCAAGCTCACCTTTTCAAAGTCAAAACTAGAGGTGGTCAGCCACTTCCCGTCCAACAGGTGAATTTACTCTATGAAACAAGATCTATATTTCCACAACATAAGCATACTTACATAGGTAATTAGGGAGCTATTAAAATATTTATCCAACATACGTATGATATAAAGATAAAGAGAGGAAGTAAAATGGTTATATTGTTTGGTTATAAGGGTTTGCACTCTCAAAAAAATTGGCAAGCTCAACGTGCCACACCAACTATGGCACTTGCTGCATATAGTCGTATATGGTTCGCGACCAGCCCTCAGACTCAGAAAATTGTGGTACTTAGAATGACTGCGGCCCTGGACACTCCGGAACCCTCGCGCACTTTGATTTCATTCTAAGGTACTTGGATTGCCGAGCCTACCCTGGCTGAACGCTGCACTGCCCATATATCTTCGAGAGAGGCATGGGAGGGAAAGACTCCCTGGAGAAAAGAAGCGGTGATCTTTTTCAACTCCAGTCTTATACTTTCTGACCTCTGAAGTATTCTCCAACCAGAGATGTTCATAAAGGTAGCAGTACATCTACTGCTACGTAGAGCGGCCTCCATTAGAGTGGTTACTATAAACTGCTCTAGTAACGCCGCGATATATAATATGTAAGTATTGAGTTCGCTGACTATGGGCTCAAGATTTATGAGAAGATGTCTAGACTCCTTATCTCTAGTATCGAGTTATTTTTTGATTAAATTGGTTTGGGAGCTTGAACACAGCGGTATTGAAGGAAACTCTAAGAACTACGATCTTGCTAGGGCCGGATGTTAGCTGCATCAGCTGTATGTAAAAAGATGAGATAAAATTGTCTAAACACTTCCTCCTCGAATGTGTCGCTTTTCGCAGATCAAGGCAAAAATACCTCGGATTTCATACTTTCCGGCCACCAGGCGAAATAGCAAAAATGAAAATAGGAAATTCAAGGTTTGTTTGGAACAAAAAGTATTTTCTTTTGGCTTCACAAATCAAAAACTCGTAATCATTCCATTTCTTCTTCATGTGAAATTAAAAATTTCATGAAAAAAAAAAAACAAATAAGAGAGGGCTAATTTCTTCTGCAACCGAACATTTTATACTCATGCAGCTTGCCAGAAGCAACGCCAGGGAAATATCTTAAGAAGTAAGACGTCAACCAGAGTATTGGAATCCAAGCATTTTCTACATACATATAACGAGTTTTTAATAAGAGCGCTACAAAAGTGTTTTTTTTTCGATATTCATACGAAGTTCATCAATCGTCGTTGACTTATTAGTATAGACCATAGACTTGACGTAGCCCACAGGAAATTGTCTAACAGTATCAAATCACACGACCAATCCGGACAATTGACTGGGCCATTTCGTAAGAAAACACGTTCACCAAACTTAGTTTTTAATAAATCGATTGTGACATTCGCCGTGTGGCTTGTGGCGACGTCTTGTTGGAACCATATATTGTCCAAGTCTATGTCATCCAATTTGGGCTAAAAATATTCGGTTATCATTGAGCGATAACGATTCCCATTCATAGCAACGTGATGGTCTGGAACATCTTGGAAGAAGTACGGTCCAATGACGCCGCCTGCACATAAACCGCACCAAACCGTAATTTATTCGGGATGCAATGTTAACTCATGGCGTACGTACGGATTTCTGCCTGACCAATAACGCATATTTTGCTTATTGACGAAGCCATTCAGCCAGAAATGAGTATAATCGCTGGAGATGATTTTTCAATAGAAAAAACCGGATCATTTTCTAGTTGTTGCTCAGCCCAATTTATGAATATGCGACGATTCTGGTGGTCAAGCTTCTCCAGTTCTTGCGTTAATTTGATCTTGTAAGAATGTAGCCCAAGATCTTTTCGCAAAACCAGCCACAATGGCATCAAAGAGATGCCCAACGCTTCAGAACGACGTGTGAGAGGATGATTTCGGTCTTCTTCAATTGATATGCTAGCTCGACACTACGGACACTTCTTTGTCTCACTGGTGTGTTAACGTTTTGTACTGTATTTGTGAAATCAAATTTTTGCACTAAATGCTCAATTATTGATCTGACAAGACGATTATGATGACCTTAAATAAGACGATGCGCTCTTAAAGTCGAGGCTACTGACTGCGAATGAAGTCTGGTGTGTCTATCAGTCTACTTTTGTAGCGTCGTTTTGAAGAACAGAGCTTAAGAGCTTATTGCTCTCTCTAAATGTGTTGTTCTGGTTCAATATCAATCATTGTATAGATAACCTCCCATTGAGTACTTTTATTGAAAAATCTTTTCATTTAAATTGAAGACTTAGTATTTAATTGGTAAATGCTTGAAACTGATAAGAACGACTGATCTATAAAAAAGCCAGATCAATAAGAAATAGCGTTCTCAGTTCAAAGAAGTAAGTTGTCTGGTCAGCAACTTTATTTTTTGGTTTTAACCGAACAATTTCGGCGGTGGATTTCAAAGAAATTTTTCCATAGGTAGCCAATACAATGTATATAATACAAATTTTGCGAATAAATAAAGCGTAACAGCTGCAGGCAGTTCTTTGCGGTTACTAAAAAGTCTTTTATATAATATTTCTGAATACCACACGCATTACTACCAATTTCGAAGAATTCAGGTAAGCTAAAGATTCCACGGCACCGAAACTTATTATGGAACTGCACTGGGGCACCAACTTCATACTTACTTCATAGTATGAGGGATTACGAATAAGAACCCTCTTCAATTTTTTGTCAAAGTTTCTTCATTTTCCCTTTCTCAGACACTTTGCCATAAAATGAATCGAAATATAACGGTTATCGTTATTTACTTATTATCCCTCTCGCTTACCAAAACAACGCAAGCGCAATCAATTGATGATTTGCTAAGTAAAATATTTTCAACTCCACGACCACAACCACAAACTGATGTTGATGGTGGAAAAGCTTGCGGCGTAAACAAAGAGTGCATTGAGCGTTTCCTTTGCGGTGAAAATGGTGCAGTGATAAGAAATGGTGAAACTCTCATTGATATACGCTTCGGTGATGAAAATGCATGTAACTATTTGGAAGTGTGCTGTAGTACCGAACAAAAGGTATAGTATATAGCTAAGTTGCAATTTCGAGACGAGTTCAAATCGTGAAAATTTGCTTCACTTTCAGTTAACGGAACCGAATGTGCCCATCAAACCAGCTGAGACCCAAACGGGTTGTGGTTATCGTAATCCAAGCGGTGTTGGCTTTAGAATTACAGGCGATAAAGATGGCGAGTCACAGTTTGGTGAATTTCCTTGGATGGTTGCCATTTTGCGTGATGAGGTAATTGGTGGTGAGACTTTACATGTTTACGAATGCGGTGGGGCCGTAATTGCGCCAAATGTCGTCTTGACAGCTGCACATTGTGCGCAAAATGCTCAGCCACACTTATGTACAGTACGGGCCGGTGAGTGGGACACCAATACCAAACAGGAAGTGTTACCACATCAAGACGTACGTGTCAAGGAGATTATTCGTCATGAGCGCTACAACAGAGGCACACTCTACAATGATGTAGCGCTTTTCATTTTGGCAACACCCTTCACTTGGGCGGAAAATGTACGTCCTATCTGTTTGCCGGAACCGAACGCAAATTTCGACTATACACGTTGTTTTGCCACCGGTTGGGGCAAAACGAAGTTTGGCAAAGAATCCGATTATCCGATAATTTTAAAGAAAATCGAACTGCCTACAGTGCCACATGATGTTTGTCAAGCAAATCTACGTAAAACACGTCTGGGGCGATTTTTCCAATTACATCATAGTTTCATGTGTGCCGGTGGTGAGGAGGACAAAGATGCCTGTAATGGGGATGGCGGCTCACCATTAGTATGTCCGGACCCAAATAACCCGAAACGTTACTATCAAGCTGGCATTGTAGCTTGGGGTATCGGTTGTGGTGCTATTAATGTTCCGGGAGTCTACGCGAATGTGGCATATCTGCGCAATTGGATAAATACGCACCTGGCTGCACGTGGCATTGATTTTCAACATTTCACGATCTGAGGAGTTGTTTCTGTTTTAAGTTTGGTAAAAAATTTATTGAATGTGATATTGAGAAATACAGATATAAATAAATATATATATCAAATTTGATCCAAGCAGAGGTCTTTTTGAAAGCGTACAACATACAGTCTGTGGAAGAACTCAAGCCGTTCAATCTTTCCAAGAGACATCGCTTCTCTCCATGGGCTTTTGAAAAGCTCCAAGATGTTCCGACATTTTCGAGCCAAGTTTTCTCATAGATGAGTCCCATTTTTGGCTCACTGTGTATGTAAACAAGCAGATTTGCCGCATTCATCATTGGGATGAAGAGCATCCTGAAGAGATTAAAAAGCTGTCATTGCACCCAGGAAAAACAATGGTTTGATGTGGGTTGTGGGCCGGGGGAATCATCAGTTCATATTGTTGCTGGTGAGAATGTAACCATCAATGACGTGATAAGTCGCCACTAAGATCGTGTAACTTTTTTCTGTGATGATATGTAAACTTTGAAGTCTATGCGGACAATCCCGCTCCGATTCAGGCCTTAGAGCAAAATATCGAGGGTGACATTCGCTAGTTATGAGTGGAAATGCTCGAATGAGTCATCGAAAAATGGACTCAACGGTTAAGCCATCTGAGACGGGGCCGCGCCCAACATTTGGAAGAGGTAACCTTCAAAAAATAAATGCTATAGAATGATTTTTCAAATGATAATAAGCATTCCCCATTTAATTCGAAGGTTCTGGTAGAGAACATCAAAATAAATCATCCTTTATAATTCCGACGTTTTATTCTAGTTGTCACAAACTTTATGTGAATATGCTGTGATTTTTCGAAAATTTCGCACAATTCTTCTTTATTATAAAGAATAGTTGGATATTTTTTGGTCATTATTGTACCATACTGTAGCTGTAGGGTTCGTTCACGACCACTTATGACATGAAATAAATATTTTTTTACAATATTTATTAAGTTGTACCCACGGTGAATACTAGTTGAAATATGTGCTGATCTTCTGATACCATTCCATTGGTTCTTTCGTCAGCTTCGGAGAGTTTCTATGCTTAGACGGACGGGGCCGTATTTTAATGTATTTTCTATTTATAAACCAACCGTTTAAGACTTATGTTGTTTACTGCGAAAGTTTTTGTTTAAATTTATTCTATGTATATACCGAAAGATTCTAAGCGAAAGAACTTACACCATCGAATCAAATTTGATCCTGCCTGCTGACAAAAAAAAAATACATTTTCCCATATTTCAATACACATCCTTATTATTTCCTCCAAAATAGGCTACTGAGCCAATACAAGAATGCCAATATTTAGTCCAATTCTTTATACACTTGTTGCATGTCTCGGCAGGGATGATCTTCAGCGCATTCGAATTATGGTTTTATATGTCATATTGGCAAACAATTCACGTCTGTTTCGACTGATATACGAAGGGCTATTCGATAGATTGTTGAACTATCCACGTCTCATCGCCATTAGCGATGCGTCTCTATTGCGATCTTTACTGATTATCGATTTTGCAAAAAAATCTAATCTATCGATACGTGTCTAGCCCTCACACGTGGAGTCGATCCATAAGCGATGGTGAGATACTCTGCTATCTCTCCGTTGACAACAACAAGGTTTTAGTACTGTTTCACTAACTTTTTCGGTATTATCTTCATTAAAAGAGGTGGATGGACGACTCGCAAGATACAAGCTTTCGCTTATAAATATAACGACCTTCACTGAATGCTTTATGCCACCCAAATACTTGTGTTCGTGAGTAAAAGTAGGCTCTCCAACACACTTCTGCAACATTTTCAACGATTCTGTAAGGGTGGTTGCATTGAAAACACAAAATTGTTAGCAAATTCCGTCAAACATACACTAACTAACGTATGGAGATCGAATATAGATTATAGCGAGTTAACAACAGCGCGTCTGTTGTTTCTTCTTTTCGCTACGTGGCGCCATTTGGATATTCCAAGCGAAGCCAGGTTCTTCTCACCTGGTCCTTCCAACGGAATGGAGGTCTTCCTCTACCTCTGCTTCCCCCCGCGGGTACAATACTTTCAGAGCTGGAGTGTTTTCGTCCATTCGGACAACATGACCTAACCAGCGTAGCCGCTAGGAGGAGGAGTCATGTCTAGAAGTTCACGCAAGTGAGGAAAGTTCTCTGATCGTCATTCACTTGGGAGTGGCCAGAAATGATTCTTTTACATATGACTCAAGCAGCTCACGACTTCCGGTCCTTGACCAAGTATCCTCTGGGTAGCCTAAGAACATCCGTTTGAAGGCGAGCTAAAGTGAGAAGGCGAAATATGCCCTACATAAGGTTGTGCGCTGGGTTTAGGACCCACCAATGAAAGGATAGAGCTTCATACGAGCATAAAAACAGGTTGTATCAATTTACGAACAATTTCCTTATCCATTCGATTTGAGCGCGCAGTTCAAATGGACCAATACAGGTCAAATTTGAACTATTGTTTGACTGATGGAACTGCATATCGTGTTGTACTTGTATGTATTTGTAAATCATCAGCGATAAGCCTAACACCAAATTAAATATAATTCTTAAAACCTTCGCAATTTTTTGTTTTCCTCTCAGTACGTAGGTTTATATTGTTTTCGACTTTTGGATGAAACAGTTCAAGTAAGCTTACAAGAGTTTTGTATAATATGGGTTGTGTTCTTTTTAATTAGGGATTATAAAACTTAAATGCAGTCGTAATTGAAATTTCAAATATGAAAACATGATTTTGTGAAAATTTTACATTAAAAATAATTTTAAAAATTTGTCAAAAATATATGGATTTACAAAAAATGTGCTTAAGTTAACACAAGCGAAGTTATTTTTCAATAATCAATGTCGTGCTTTAACTTGGAAAAATCGAAGAACCGAAATCAAAATGCTACGAAATAATGTTATGGGGAGAGCTTATTAAAAGTTAATAAGACGCTACCAAAAGACTAAAACTGTTGTCTAAATTTTATTCCTGTCAAACATTAACAAGGTTATCTAGTGGTAAACCATTATTAGCAATAATTTAATATTAAGATTGAAACTATTGTACATTTTCTCAGTACTGCATCGGCTCCCTTATTGTCCCTAAGGAACCGTAGCCAAGCCGAACATTTTAGTGTATTCGTCGTGAAACTGATTATATAAAGAGGTTGAAATCAGTACACGCCGAAACTCTATCCTCCTTCAACTGTATATATTCTTGAAAACAACTTCGACAACTGCGTCGCAGAGGCTAGTCGTGGCTGTCTTTTCTCTGGTCACACACCGACGTAGGATAAGTGGATAGGGAAGAGTCGCTGGAGAAGAGATGCAGTGAGTTTTTTCTTCGTAGCTGGGAGGGAAGGTGTAAGGGGGAGTTTTCTGTAAGGAGCTTTGCAACAATCTTACGACTGTAGTGTTTTTCAGGCAATTAAGGTGGTGGTAGGTATACTGCTACGAGCTACAGCCTATTTCTAGGAGGGGAATAGCACCAAGCTACTTGATCAACCAGCTTGTTTGGAAGCCACTCTGCGACAACAATATCCTTTAAACCTCGAGTAGAACACAGAAGTCTACACTCAATTGGACACTGTCTAATAGCCATTCATACGATAATTTTAAAAATCCTTTTGGACGCAAGTTGTCAAAGTTGTATGGAAGAAGGTGAGGTTTAAACATCCAGTTGTCATCTCCACCATTGTCCGGCCTTTGCAAGCTGTGGCTGAAACATCTCTACCTTTGGTAAACCAGGAGACATAGCCGAAACTGGCATTGAACATCCAAATATGCCTTCATTTTCAGTAAATCTTTGGATAATGATTATATATATATATACTAGTTCTTGCCACATTTCAATTGCTCCGCGTCATATTAGAAATATTATAAAAAAATAACCTTGTTTTTATATCCAAAAACCCGTGGATCCTCCACTGTTCCTTTAAATGCTTGAGTGAGGAAGCTCGCTAACAACTAAAAATAATCTGCTTGCTTCCTAATTATTCCAATTATTGTATTATTATCTCACCTTAGCACACAAAATGAACGCGTCAATAAAGCTTATTGCTTTAGGATTAATATCCTTTTGTATAAATACAACACTATGCCAAAATATGGCAAATGACCTACTCATTAAAAAAATTTTTGGGGATGCTACTACGAAGGAAATAAAGGATCGAAGTGCAGAACTCCAAACCAAGATATGTGAAAAATGCGTCTTAAATCTCTGCAATGGGCCCAGTGGTAATGGTGACGCCTGCCGTTATGTTTATGAATGCTGTTATATACGTGACGTGGTATCAGGTTTGCATAAAACTTTTGAATAACTTTGAAATTTAAACACTGACTCTATTCAATTTAGATGCATCAAGACCCCAACGAATCAGTAGCTGCGGTCAACGAAATCCGAATGGTTTAGTGTACAAAAATACTGAGGTCCACCATGAGGATGCGGAATTTGCCGAATTTCCATGGATGGTATTAATTCGACATTGTACTAACGATCATATAATAGGTGGTGGCTCGTTAATCGCACCAAATGTTGTTCTGACAAGCGCACTTAGCGTTAGAGACAAGACCGCACAGATGCTGTATGTGCGTGCTGGCGAGTGGGATTTGGAAAGCACACTTGAACCGTATGTACATCAAAATGCATTCGTTAAAGAGATCGTATGCCATGAAGAGTTTAAAGGAATCCCCTTATGTAATGACATTGCGCTCTTAGTTTTGAAATCTTCATACACCTTGACACCGAATGTGCAGCCGATCTGCTTGCCGGAAGTTAATACAGTTTTGGATAGAGATCATTGTATTAGCAGCGGTTGGGGTCAATTCAAACTTGGTCAAATTAACGGGTACCAACCAATTTTAAAGAAGGTCGAGTTTCCCATTCTGTCGCATGCTGCATGTGAAGCTCAACTAGGTGGAAACTTTTTTTATATGTATAATTATTTTCAATTACATCCGAGTTTCATATGTGCCGGTGGTGTACCAGGCAATGATAAGTTTATAAGAGAAAGCGGCTCACCGTTGGTATGTCCCGATCGTAATAACCCCGAACGTTACTATCAAGTGGGTATTGCCCCTTTGCCGGGTTTGAATGTTGGTACAGAAAATTTACTCTACTTGGATTCGAGTGTACTGTATTCACGGGATTGGATTATTATGAAGCTTAAAGAGAGAAGAGTGGATTTACAATATTTTACAGCCTAAATAATAATAATTGTATATTAATGTTTACAAAAATACCTGTAAATATATTTTTATTATTATAAATCCTGATCTTGTAAAGATTTTATCACATGATTATACACCAAATTTTATTTTATGAGAACCTTAAAATTTGTGTTACTGTCTGGGGCTTAAAATCAAAGCACTCTGCGGTAACAGTTGCAGTATGCTGGTAAGAAAGACATATTACTGCCTTAGTACTGAGTTCCTTTACACGACACTCGGAATGATTTCTGTTTTAACCCATATTTTTATAAGGAAATAATAAGGCGATTCCCAATTGATCTAAATGCGATACTGTAAGCAAAAGTTCAACGAAAGGTGTCAAACGGCAACGAAATTTGACTTGACTGATAGAGGAAGCACTTATGAGTCTTAGATAGCTTATCGCCACAAGCCAAAAGATTCCCATCACCATATTTCCATTTAAGGAAACCGTGAAAGCTTAAAACCCTGCATAGGGTGCATTAACTTTGCCACGAATTGTGTAATACCAAGAAGGTAACTTCGGAGATCTCCTATAAAAATATCTATAAATGATCAACGTAACGAGCTAAATCGTTTTAGCTGATATTTGGACACTTTCTTCTTCTTTCCAATACAGGATGTAACTGCCATACAAACTTATCAATTGTATGGAAAACTTTCTTATTTTTCAGATCAGACCAGTTAGTACATAGCTGCAATTCAAGCTGACCGATTAAAATTAAGCTAAATATGTCCGGGTATATTTCGGAAAATTTTCCAGCCGCTCAAGCACAAAATTGTTATCATAAACTGAACGAAGTGAAGCCCATAACCGTATTATCATTTTACAACAAGTAAAACTCATTGTGAACTAAAACGTCGTAACCTGCACTAGAACAACTCCGCCCAGGCCTTATATTATACAAAATGTAAAGAGCGTAACGCAATTTTACCGACAATAAAGAGACCGTCCGATAACTGTTATACGCGAATAGCAGTAAATGAGTAACTCTAGTCAACTATGTGGATAAAGTGTGTTCATAACTCAAACCTCCGCCTTATACTCAATATACATACTTATACAGTATTTATACTCAAATTTGATTTGGCAGTGCTTTCATTAAAGCTTACTCAAGGTCCACGCTACCGGCGCATACACAAGCCTACCATACATATTTTCTCTTCTTCGCATGCGTCAACGATCGACATTGGGAATACCCCGATAGCAACAATAGTTTGCCAACTTTATACACATGCACTTACACACAAATTTATACAACTTTGCAACTGTTTTTTGCAACTGTTCACTTGTTGCTCTTAATAATTTGACGAGTCTGAAGTAATTGTGTCGCTGGTTTTTAGTAAATTACGGAACTCAGTTCCGAAAATTGATTTTTGCAATGAACTATGGGGTTTTTTGTACTGTGTAGAGGAAGTAAAAATTTTCGGAATTGTAGAAATTCCAAGAAAAACAAAAAAAAAACAGTGATATGTTGGTGTAATATTATGTGTAATTGATATACTATTACTCAACTGGATCATCATTTGACTGAAATTAGTCTATTTTTATGCCCTGAGCTGGTATATTAAGTTTTACACGAAGTTTGTAACATCCAAAAGAAAACGTTGGAGACCCTATCAAATATACATATATGTACATATATTTGAATAATCAGTATGACAACCAAAGTCGATTCAGTTCTGTTCCGCAGTTTTTATTGCCTTATTTGAAAGATTATCAGTGTATTATCATGCCTAATACATTAGACCGCTCGCTTTAATCACACATTTTCTAACTCAAGAAAGTATAACACAAGTCAACCCATTAGACTAAAAGAAATTAGTTCAAAAATTATTGGCTTCTACGAATTAAACAATCAACAGATTTACGGTAAATGCGACAGTCAAGTCAAATTTCGTTCCATTTAACACTTTCCGCTGAATTTCTGCTTACAGAGACATATATACGTATATTGTTTACAAAACTTTAGACCAATTGTGCATCGCCTGCAAATGTCGCCTGAAGAAGTCAAAATTTAGTTCCGTTACAATTACTCTCCTTATGTGCATTAAAGAGGTGCTTAGAAAACGGATTTAAAACAGACTGAACGGAATATTGGTTATCTGAACTTGGCATGGTTTTAACCAAGGCAATTTTAGAGAGGTAATATAACCTGAGAAGGCAGGCAGGCGTTCCTTTGCCCGACCATGAAGATGTTCCAATAGCAATTACCCGCCTGAAGAACAACAAAGCGGCGGGGGGCAATGGATTGCCAGCCGAACTATTCAAAATCGGCAGCGAAGAACTGATAAGAAGCATGCATCAGCTTCTTTATAGAATATGGTCAGGCGAAAGCATGCCCAACGATTGGAATTTAAGTGTGCTCTGCTTAATACACAAAAAAGGAGACCCCACGATCTGCGTCAACTATGGTGGCATACGTCTCCTCAACATCGCATATAAGGTTCTACCGAGTGTTTTATGTGAAAGATTAAAGCCCATCGTCAATAAACTGATTGGATCTTATCAGTGTGGATTTAGGGCTGAAAAATCTACAACTGACCAGACTTTCGCCATGAGCCAAATCTTGTAAAAGAACCGTAAAAAGAGGATCGACACACACCATCTCTTCGTCGATTTTAAAGCTGCTTTTGAAAGCACGAAAAGAAGCTGCCTTTATACAAAAGCTTCGTCAAGATCGGGAAGAATCTCTTGGAGCAGTTCAATACCAAACAAGGCTCAGTTTCGCTGTTCGAGAAAAAATTTTATACAAGTTACAACATAGATAGGCGCCTAGAACTGTCTTTTCAATAGTTGTTAATTCAGAAAAGAGTATTTTCAACCATTTTCAGACAGAAAGCGCCGTAGAATAACAATCGTAACTGTAAAGCGAAATCAGAATTGTCTTACACCAAAGATTTGAATATAAAGCCTGGTACTATATCACTAATTCCTCTAGGATCCAAAGTAAAACTGAGTGGTGGAACAGCGTTTTTAGGTTATATCTATATTCTTATACTCTAAACTGTTTATATTAAGTTTGCGATGATTTCTGTAACACTAAAAAAGGAATATCGGAGACCCTTAAAGTGCATAGAAATATAAATGGTCAGCTAGCCGTCTGTAAATAAGGGATTTAGTCTATCAGTTTTTGAGATATGAGTCTAAAGTTGTACATACTTTTTTCAAAAATAAGCTGCTTATTTGTCGGAACCGCCGATTTTGTACCATCAAACAAACTGGAATCAGGTTATGCGTAACCGAGGTAAACTTATTGCCTGTACCGAGTTTATCGATACTTTTTTTACATACAAAATTTTGAAAGCCACTGTAAAGAAAGGCTAAATCATTCAAAGGGAAATTTATTTTTTAAACGAGGACGTAGAGAAAATATATTATTTTGATGCGAAAAAATTTGACTAAGTAACTGTAACTAATCGAATGCAATTTGCATGAATAATACAAACAACACTACCATATCAAGCTAGGCTCGTATTTATAGCCTCGAACTTGAATTTGAAACAAGTTTCTAACAAAAAAAACGGTTTATATGTATGTATGCAGTGATGTGTGTCTGCGATAGGCTCTCGTCATTAGAACAGTTATCTACACTTAATTATATGCATCTGCTCCCATTCACAAGCAATTAAATACTGCAAATCCTGTTCAAGCGATACTAGGCCTCGAGTGCACAAAAAAAGCCGGGAGCTACAAGTTATGACGAACGAATTTATATGCAAAAAAATTTGAAATTGCAAGCAAATAAGAACGAATGTTTGAATAATTTAATATTCGTATTTAAAAATTTGAGAAAAAAATAAATAAATGTAAATTCAAAAACATACATACATATGCATGTGAGCTAGAGTAACCAATAACTACCGAATAGGTGTAAATCTATGGAGTATATTAGTGCTTGTGTGAGTGTGTGTGCGTGTGTCTATGTAGAAAGCTCATCTTCGCAAACGTCGCTTGGATTCTCGACTAGCCTGCCTGAGTGGGAATCACAGCCTAAACTACAAGCACACGCATATGTATACATACATATGTTGTGACAAAAAAGCACCCGGAAATTGTAATTAAATTTAACGGGCAAGTGATTTTGTCCGAATGTACGAAAACTCTCCGGCTCTGAAAGTATTCGACGCAGTACCCACCGGGGGAAGCAGAGGAAGAGGAAGACCTCCACTAAGTTGGAAAGACCAGATGGAGAGGGACCTAGCTTCGCTTTGAATATCCAATTGGCGCCACATAGCGAAAAAAAGGAACGACTGGCGCGCTGTTGTTAACTCGGCTATAATCGCGAAGCTTTATCTACGCCAATAAAGAAAGAATAAAAATAAATATCCGTATTAAAAAAAAAAAAAAAAAAATATTTTGCTGGTAGGACCGTCCTTAATTAATAAGCGAAATATGTCACATGGATAACTATGCTTTTGACTCAAATTTTGTATTTCTGAGCAAATTGCGGGTGTGGAATCGTGGAAAATGTTGGAGAAGGCTTAACGGTTTTATCAAAAACAGAAGCCTACAAGTGGTGCATGACTCGTTTTGGACGACATGCGATCTCTTCAACTGATGAAAATAATAAAAACGTAAATTATATGGTTCTTGAAAATCATCAGGCAAGGGTTAGTGAAATGGCAAGAGAGCTCAACATCTCTCGCGAGTCCGTTCGAATGATTTCGGTGTATATTTTGCGTGTGAAACGCGTTCTTGTTCGACTTATCTCGATAAAGCTGATTTTTTTTCACAAAAGAGTATCGCAAACAGGTCTCTTTGGACATGCTTCATCGTGCGAATGCCGATCCCACATTTTGGGAGAACATTATAACTGCCGATGAGACACAGGTTTATGAGACTGCCATGCAAAGTCAACAATCATTGGAATGGAGCCGAAAACGAACCAAAACAAAAACGAAGTCAAAGCCACTAAAAACTCAAAGTGATATTCATTGTTTTTTTCAATGTACGTGATTTGGTGCATTACGAATTCGATCCGGAAAGATGAACGGTCGATAGGAGTTCTATTTGGTCGTGCTAGC